TATTCAAGCAGACTTGTATAGTTCACTTTTACAGAAAAAAATAACTTTTTGAACTAACAGTGTACACCCTCCCCACCCCCCGATTTCACTGTACATACCTCTGGGGGTGCTGAGCTGTCAGTGCTCATGCAGCCGCTCCTGGGATTTGAAATCCCCACTCTTTTCCCTTTTCCCTGTGCAGTGCTTCTGAGATGGATCAAACGATTTATTGTGCAAGTGCTAACCAATCAGAATCCCTCTGGTCAGTTCCAGAAGCACAGCACAGAGAAGAGGGGGAAGAGTGGGGATTTCAAATCCCTGGACCTACTGCATGATAAATGACCCCTCAGCATCCCAGGAGGCAAATACAGCAGGGATTAGGGTGGGTGGGGAGGCTGTACAGCAGGGGGGTCAGCAACCAGTAGATCGCGGGCAGGTAACTGATAGATCACAGCCTGCGCTTGCTGACCCTCTATCCCAGAGTAGAGGGACTATTTGTACAGTTGGAGCTGTAGTAGGGAGGAAGAGAGCCACATAAGCAGGGGCGGACTGACTATTTGGAAACTCAGGCACTGCTCGAGGGCCCGGGGTCAGTAGGGGGCCCCATGAGATGCCCCTGGTACCTTTTTCATAGGCTTTTTTGAGTTTGGGCAAGGACACAGGGGCCCCATGATCCCCTATTGCCCGGGGGCCCCATGAGTTGTCAGTCCGCCCCTGCACATAAGCCAATGCCTCCTCTGTAGTTCCGGCTCCTGTCCCATGTGGAGTGATACCAACTGCAGCTCACGTCTTATCCCGGCTAGCGGTCTCCAGAGTGGTGCCAGCAGCAGGAAACGAGATCCTCAGGTCAGTGTGAAGCAATACACCAGGCATAATAGTATAGGGCTGCTTTCACACTGATGTGCTGTGGTTTACCCACACCGTGGGTGCAGTGCTGTGTAGCTGCAGCTTTCCTGCGGGTTTGCTGTGCTTAGCCTTAGAATTCTATTATATCCTGCGGGTTTGGTGCACTATCTGAAAGCGCAGCAAACTCCTGGATTCACTCCAGAAGCATGCAGTTGCAAAGCGCTTGCAGAGTGGCCCCATTTACTTGAATGGGTAGCAATTGGCAGGCAGTAGCACCTACCAAAAGCAACAGAGGATTTAATTATTTCAGTGGCATGTGTACACCTTTGGCTGCTGCCTCAGCAGCTAAAAGGGGTAGGGATTGGGGGTGGTAAAACCGTGACAGCACCTCAGGATTTTACCTCCCCAACTTTACATGTGAATGAGCCCTAAGGGTGCTGCTGCCGAATGCAACTTAGGGCTCATTCACAAGTACAGCAGGCACTGCTGCTCCTCTGAAAAGTGATCCGAGTGTGGTTGAGAAGTGATGAGGAGGCAATATGCAGCCTCCTCACCACCTGATTTAAATCCATGATTGTGCCAAGGTAGTAAAGCAATCAGATGTTTAAGTCAGTTGTGAGGAGAAGACACTGGGCCTGGTGATATTTGACTTCTCCCATGTTGTTCAGGTAGATCTCCACCTCTTTAAGGTTGCCTACCCCTACTGCTGTCAACAGTGAGGTAACACTTGGTGACACCCCCTCTGATGATCCCCGCAGGATGGATCGGATCTGCGGATTGAACATAATGGATTAGAGTCCTGAGGGGATGCTTTAAAACTTACCTTTTCATGAAGAGATCAGTTAACCCCGTATAGGTTGTAAGTTGTCGATCCCTGCAGGATTGATCGGATCTGCGGATTGGGGAGGATAATGGATCGAACTCCGATCCATTATTCTCAATCCCCAGATTCGATCCATCCTGTGGGGATCATCGGCCCACACCTGCCTAGGGACGCCCCTGCCCTGCTGTACAGTGTCCACTTTTTTCATTTTTTTCTGTTAATGCCCTTTTTAAGGAAAACTAAACTTGCACAAAAGGTTAACTTTAAAGCATACATGTTTTTCGTTCAATAGAGTCAGTAGTTTTGTGGTTTTCAGCAGTTTTTGAAATGTATGCCAGCACTGTGTTGGAATGAAGACTAAAAAAAAAATATAATTTTTTTTTTTTTTTTTTTTTAAGGAACCTGTCAAAATGGAAGCCCTTCACCACTTGGTGACTCGCTTATGCAGAAAAAGTGTGAAGGTCGGATATCTTGACTTCACTGCCTTCATGCTTGGTCCTGGTCAGTGATTTGTTATGTCATGAGGTAAGGATAGGGATAACAGCACCAGTGCTTGTAAAGACAAGTTGCTAATGATATCTTCCATTGTTCTTTTCTAACTGGCGTCTTTTTAAATGCTATGATAAAAAATGGAAAATAGTTGTTGCAGAAATGTGCGTTAACCAATAAAGGCCAATCAGTAGCGGTTTTATTGTCCTAACTGCTGGGAACTGATACATACATCTTAGTGTGGTGAAATTCTGCTTGCTGCATCTTTGGTGTAATTTTCAGAAAAGAACACATGTACTGTATACAGTAGATAGACTAGTGCTGGCCATAGGCGGGCCATTTATCGGCCAAATTGTCGACCGATAAACGAAAAATCGGTCGTTGCTGCTGCCATGGATGCTGCCACCATGCTTACGAAAAATGGTGTCTGTGAGCGGATAGTGCCCCATCATTGGAGAGGAATAGTCCCCATGTGAGAGGAATAGTGCCCCATCATTGGTATCTGTGAGAGGAATAGTGCCCCATCATTGGTACCAGTGGGAGGAATAGTGCCCCACTGTTGGTGTCAGGGGCAGGAGTTATGTCCCATTGTTAATGTCTGTGGGAGGAATGATGCCCCATTGTTAATATTGTGGGAGGAGCAGGGGCGGACTGACCATTTGGAAACTCAGGCACTGCCCGAGGGCCCGGGGTCAGTAGGGGGCCCCATGAGATGCCCCTGGTATCTTTTTCATAGGCTTTTTTGAGTTTGGGCAAGGACACAGGGGCCCCACCCCTATTGGGGGGCCCCATGATCCCCTATTGCCTGGGGGCCCCATGAGTTGTCAGTCCGCCCCTGGGGAGGAGTAGTGCTCCAAGGACTAGATAAGGCAAGCAAAGGGCCACATTCGGCCCTTTGGCTGCAGTTTAGAGACCACTGGTCTACAGTTTATTATCTATGTTTTCAAAGCACCCAGGAATCTTCTCCTTAACGTGATTGAACCACCATGTGACTTTTAATAAACATGCACAGAACAATACGGGAATAACATAATAGGACACTAGACCATACATGGGCCAGACTATGAAATCTTCAGTCATTTCTGGGAAAAGTCATTTTTAATCATTTGAGTCATGGAAACTGCATAACCTGTCCACATTAAAAAAATATATACATTATATCTACAAAAGATAAGATCTAAAGTTTGCAGTATAAGACCATAAACCATTTGAGTCCAAAAGATATTTGTCACTGTCTTGGCATTTGTTTGAAAATGGAGGAATCTTGGGTTTTGTTATCATCAAATCATCTGTCTGCGTATGCCTTCTCAGTTCCCACAAATGTTGCTTTTTTTTCTAACACTTTGGAAGAATATAGCCAACTCTGCAGATCATCTTGATATTTTGCAAACTTTCCAGTGCAAATACTTGAGAGACAAATTCAGACCATGAGGACTTGCATTCACAAGCATTCTTGTTCATGCATATTGCTGTGTGCCTTTGCATAAATGTGAATTGCAAAACAAAGGACAACGTACCAAAAATACAGGTTAAGTCATGCCTGCAGCCTGGTTGCAAAAAGTCTTGTTCTTGAAGTGGTGGAAATTAGTCCTCTGACCATTTTGGTGGGAATGATTCCTGTGTTCAGGCGGGACAAATTTTTGTCTTCAGTTTGTTAGGAAAGAGCCTTGTCTCTAGTGTGAAGGGAGCAAGTCCTGTCTCCAATGCATTGGGAAGGAGTCTTGTCCAGTGGCGGACTGACAACTCATGGGGCCCCCGGACAATAGGGGATCATGGGGCCCCTGTGTCCTTGCCCAAACTCAAAAAAGCCTATGAAAAAGGTACCAGGGGGCATCTCATGGGGCCCCCTACTGACCCCGGGCCCTCGAGCCGTGCCCGAGTTTCCAAATGGTCAGTCCACCCCTGGTCTTGTCTTCAGTGTGGTGGGAACCAGTCCTCTCTCGAATGTGGTCAGAAATCGCGCTTTTCTCTCAGTATGGTAGGAAAAGTCTTGTCTCTATTGAGGAAGGGACAAATCCTGTCCAATGTAGCAGCAAGTCCCCTATCTAATGTGGTGGAATGTCCCGCTCTGTGAGGACATCAGGTGACGAAACACGTAGGGCGGAGCTTGTGGATGTGACGTTGCGACGTTCGGCGATCTGTCGGCGTCTGTGGATGCCGGTGGAGGCTGTGGTTTATGCTGTGAACGCTGTTTATGCTGGTGTCGGCTTAGACACCATTCATTGTAAGTGCGATGAAAGATTTTAAATAAATTCCTTTTTATACGTTGCTACACTATGAGTTTCTCCTCTCTTGCTTTCTGAGTACTATTTGAGGTTTATGAAGAAGGGTGTGCCATACTGAATTGTTCCATATATGCTGAGATTAATCTGCAGACCATTGCTCCCAGAACACAAGCGCTTATGCTGGTTTATAATCTGACCAGCACATTGCTCTGGTGAGTTTATTCAATCTATTCGTGGTGGATTTGTGCACAGTGGTTTTGTGTTTTTTCACATGAAGATATTTTTGATTTGAAGATTTTGTTTATTGATACAGATATATTTTTGGTGTTGGACATTTGCACATTTATTGGACACTATTAATAATTTGTTTGTATTAAGTTTTATTAAGTTATATATTAAGCAATATTTTTTATAATTTGTGTGAAATTATTAGCGCAAACCTATTTTTTCATTTTTTATATGTATACCTTATAGGTTAGGTTTTGCGGCTTTTTTTGCACTTTATATTATATATTTTACATTTTTGGCACTGTCCATATTTTGTTAATTATATCTCCAGTTTGGCAGGAATGTGTTACCGCTATGGCGGGAATAAGTTCTGTCTCTATTGTGGTGGGAACAAATCCTGTATTCAGTGTAGTAGGAATGAGTGTAGAATGAAGTAGAATGAGTCTCAAGTGTGACAGGATCCAGTTCTGTCTCAGGTGTGGTAGAAATGTATCCTGTTTCCAATGTGGCAGAAACAAGTCCTGTCCAGGGGCAGACTGACCATTTGGAAACTCGGGCACTGCCCGAGGGCCCGGGGTCAGTAGGGGGCCCCATGAGATGCCCCTGGTACCTTTTTAATAGGCTTTTTTGAGTTTGGCAAGGACACAGGGACCCCATGATCCCCTATTGCCTGGGGGCCCCATGAGTTGTCAGTCCGCCCTTGGTCCTGTCTTAAGTGTGGTGGGAATGAGTCCTGTCTCCATTGTGATGGGAAAAAGCACTATCTCCAGTGAGGTGGAAAAGAACCCTGTCTTCCCATTTTGGAGGGAAGGAGTCAATTTCTCCAGTGCAATGGAAAACAATCTTGTCTCTATTGTGGCAGAAAAGGAGTCTTGTCTTTAGTGTGGTGGGAAAGAGTACTTTCTCCAATGTGCTGGAAACGTCTTGTCTCCAGTGTGACGGTATCGAGTCCTGTCTCCACTGTGGCAGAAGCAACTCCCGTCCCCAATGTGGGTATTACGAGTTCTTCTTTTGGTGCGGTGGAAATGAGCGCTGTGTTCGATGTGATAGATAAGAGTACTGTCTCCAGTTTGGTGGAAATGAGTTGTATCTCTAGTGTGATGGGAATGAGTCCGAAAGGAGCCCTGTCTCCTATGTGGTGGAAAAAAAAATTATGTATCTCTAGTGTGGCGGTAAGGGAGCCCCGTCTCGCGTGTGGCGGTAAGGACCTAGTACACATTTGTGGCACTCTCAGCCAAATAAAAGTTAGATGGAAGGGTCTGCTGAGCTGCAGGCGGACATCTTTGTAGGAGATGTAAGAGACCTCAAGCACAGTGGGTTTGACACTCGTGTATACAGAATCTTACAATCCTCTTCGTGTCGGTAGTAAATATTACATGCTCCAATGTCTCTCAACCAGAGTTCCTTCTATGGTTGCTCGGAGTTCCATGAGAAAATAGTGGATATATCTCCAACCTATACCGACCCAATACAAAGGGGTGAACTTCCCCTAACTACCTTTTCCACATTGACCAATGTTGGAGGACACCACAATTTTTACTGTCTCCCTTTCTCTACTGCAGTTATTCTTTTGATTGCAGCACTTAATCACCGTTTTTGGGACAGTGGATTTTATCACAAAATTTTTTTTGTATTATGTGGCGTATTATGCGTGTGTGGGGTTAGGGAGCCCTGTCTGGTGTGTGGGGTTGCGTATTGAGCCTGCCCCCTCTCCTGCCCAGCAGGAGCCCTGTCTGGCGTGTGTGGGCGGTAGCTGGCTGGCTGTGTGTGGGGTTAGGTAACTTCTCTCTGCTGGCTGAGCAATCATGTAATAGCTCAGTTGGCTTGGGCTTAGGGAGTTCAGGGTTGGGAGAGGTACACAGCATCACTTTCTCGATGCTGCAGCATAGAGGTGAGCGTGTGTGTGTGTCAATTCACTGGGGAATTTTTTTTTTTTGAATGCCACCCTTACAGTATACCATACATCTTCTTTAACAACCAGTGGGAGGTCAGGAGAGGTATCAATCTTCCTTGGGAATGGAAAAAATATACTACTGTGCTATGCTGTATACAAGGATAGGTACCCTGCCCGTCTCTGTACGCCAAGTTAGAATAGATCTTAACATGGATCTTCACCCTCAAACCATTATTTCTCCATTCCACCCATCCCTGTCCTCTGGCCCTCTACATGGATAGATCTTTTTTTTTCTCGCTTATTTTAGGTAAGAAAAATTTTCAGGCCGCAAACTCCACCCTCCCCCAACCCCCACCCACCCATGCACATCACGTGCCTAGGCGAATGACACAAAATTTGCTTCCTATGCCTCTTTGATATGTATTTCACATATCCCAGGAGACAGTCTTTCATTCACAATGGAGGAGGGGGCGGGCCCCGCGGCGGTCATGGAAGAGCCGCCAGCCTCTTGTAGATGTAAACCAAAACATTGTGGTGCTGGACCGGGCACTGTCAGATACGAGGATTTTAGCATGACAACACTGGATCTGCTCAGTGAATGAGTATTTGAAATGTGCAATCCACAGTTCAATAGTTGATAAGGTTGAATAAAGATGCCAGTCCATCCAGTTCAACCTGTGTGGGTGTGTGTACAGTATGTATTTATGTTAATACCATTTCCCTGTATATTGCGTTCACTAAGATTCCCATCTAAGAGTTTTTTTTTTTTAAATGATTGACACTTCCTGCTGACACCACCAACAGTGGAAGGGAGTTCCACATCCTTACAGCTCTGACAGCAAAAAAACTCTTATGCAGTTTAAGGTTAACCCCTTCGTGCCGGCGCCTCCAGGCCCTTTAAGGGTTTCAGAATCCGGGAGGCGGGGTGGGGTTTAGAGTCATATGACCGCCGTTACACGCCGTCACGGTGGTCACATGATCAGGAAAGGTCCTGATCGAAAGAGGAGATTGGGACCTTTTGGTGAGTACCGGACATGTGTGCGCAAATGTGCGGCCGCTCAGCGTCTAGGCCCAGACGCCGGGAAGCTGCACATTTGCGTTCGGCCGGCATGAAGAGGTTAAACTGCTTTTTGTCCAACCTCATTGGGTAGGCACCTGTCCTCTTAAGTGACCTGAGACTGAAGAGTTCTCTTCCTATGCTAGAATCACCATTGAGATATTTGTACATCGCCATCTTATATCCTCATAAGCATCTCTTTTCCAAGGAGGGTATGTTTAATGTTTGTGTCGTTCTTTGTAAGTGAAGTCCTGCAGTCCCCTTATTAGTTTTTTTGCCCTTTTCTGGACTCTGTCCAGTTCCAGCTTATCCTTCTTGAGGATCCACTTTAAAGAGGAACTTCAGCCTTCATTATCCCGCCTAATATAGTTATTCCCCTGCTTACCTGATGTTATGTTTTGCACAGTAAAGATACTTACCCAGCCATCGGATCCAGTGTTGTCCTGCTGAAATCCTCTTCTCTGCAGCTGCCCCATGGGTCCAATGCTGCCACGTTGTTGGCTGTTCGGGGTTTAGGTGCCACTAGGCCTGCCTCCTCCTCCTTTAGTGATTGGAACTAGTATAGTGCTCCCAGCGCCTCCTGGGATATGTACGTCATGCATCCCTGGAGGCACTGGGGGTACTGGTGTAATTTGCCTAGGCAAATGACAGAGGACTGGGGGCAGGCCAAGAACTGTTATTGGAAAAAAGAAAAGAATATTAACCACCTCCCGCCTGCCATATAGTAATATGACGGACGCAAGGTGGTTCTCTCGTTCTGGGAGGACGTCATATGACGTCCTCCCATTCTCACCGTGCATGTGCAGCTCAGGGAGCACGCGGGACACAGCGGATCACCGATCACGGAAAGAGCCGAAGATGTCGGCTCGGTCATGTGATCAGCTGTGTCCAATCGCAGCTGATCACATGTAAACAGGGAAATGCCGGTTATCTGCATTTCTCTCCTCTCGAGCTGTCACGGTGACAGCTCGAGAGGAGAGGAGAGCCAATAATCGGCTTTCCGTGGAGGGGACATGTACACTGATCATCAGTGCCGCCTATCAGTGCCATGTATCAGTGCTACCTTTCAGTGCCCCTCAGTAATGCCTGTCAATGCCCACCAGTGCCTCCTCATCAGTGCCCATCAGTGCAGCCTATCAGTGCCCATCACTACAGCCTCATTAGCGCACATCAGTGAAGGAGAAAAAAAATCACTTATTTACAAAATTTTATAACAAAAAACTAAGAAAAACTTTTTTTTTTTCAAAATTTTCAGCGGTTTTTGGTCTGTTTTAAGAAAAAATAAAAAACCCCCCAGAGGTGATTTAATACCACCAAAATAAAGCTCTATCTGTCACAAGAAAATTATAAAAATTTCATATGGGTACAGTGTTGCATGACCGCGCAATTTTCATTCAAAGTGTGACAGCGCTGAAAGCTGTAAATTGGCCTGGGCAGGAAGGGGGTATAAGTGCCCTGTAGGCTAGTGGTTAAAGAAAAATAAAGTGTGTGTGTGTGTGGGGGGGGGGGGGGGGGGGGGGGGGGGGGGGGGGGACACAGAATGAAGAGGAGGAAAGTACTGTGAAAGGGTGACAATCCACTTTTTCTGATTTTGAAGATCCACTGTAAAGTGGTTCTAAAGTCTCAATGTTTTTTTTTTCACCTTCATGCATTCTATGCATGAAGGTAAAAAAAAAACTTCTGTGTGCAGCAACCCCCCTGCTATCAGTCACAGCCAGTGAGCCAATCACAAGAGGGAGGGGCCAAGCTGCAGCTTTGTGTGCGAATGGACACGCAGAGCAGCGACTCAGCAGTGCACCTGCTCGAGTTCCCCCATAGAAATCTGTTGGCTAGGGAGGCACCCGACAGGAGGGAGGAGCCAGGAGCCTCGGTGGGGGACTCGAGAAGAGGAGGATTCGGGCTACTCTGTGCAAAACCATTACAAGTTAGTATCACTTTAATAATCTCCGGCTTATGTATGAACTGGAGGTAATTATTTCTGAATTTGGTGTAGTAAGACCTACCTAAATCTTCCCCAGGTGTCTGGTGGTAGGGACCTTCGAATCTGGATCAGGGCATTTTAAAGGGCAATGGCACGAGAAGACTATTGGCTTTATGGAATTCCATGGGTGTGTTTCTATTGATACATACAGTGTAGGGAGTCTCTACATGCAAGGGTGGCTCCATAGGACCCTGCAAGGAGCTACCCTGAAACAAGAAACCTGGGGCAGCAGTCATGCCACCAGCTTAAACTGGAACATAATTGACCAGGGATGAAAAAATTAAAAGTGGAAGCTCCGCTTATTTGCCTCCTCCACCCCTCCACTGCCACTTTGTCACCTTTTGGGGGGAGGGGAGAGTGGGTACCTGGTTTTGACAGGTACCCGCTTCCACTTCTGGCTCAGTTCGCCGTGACAAAGTGAGCCGGATATTTAGGCCCCCTCCTTGCTCCCACAGTCTCCTGGGAACTTACACAGGTCCCAGGAGACTGCTGGACCAATCAAGAGGTGCAAAGCGACTCGCGCATGCGCAGTGGGCACCTGGCTGTGAAGCCGCAAGCTGTCACAGCCTGGTGACCACAGTAGAGATGCCCGTGTCGTGGAGGACAGAAGGCGAGAAGGGACTGCGCAGGTGAGTACATTGCTGGACCCCGGGACAGGTAACTGTGTGTTTGTTAAAAGTCAGCAGCTATAGTTTTTGTAGCTGCTGACGTTTAATAAACACAAAAACGTCTGGAACGCCGCTTTTAAGATAAAAAAGAAAAATTAAAAGATTAAAAAAAGATATAAAATAGGATAAAAAATAAATATTATAAAAGATTAAAAAATATATAAAAAGAGTAACAGGTAAACATTAAAAAAGATTTAAAAAAAATGTATATAAAAGATAAACATTAAAAAAAAATAAAAAAAAAGAATAAAAGGTAAACATTAAAAAAGATTGAAAAAAAATAAAAAAGGATAAAAGGTAAACATTAAAAAAGATTTAAAATAAATATATAAAAAAGGATAAAAGGTAAACATTAAAAAAATATAAAAAAAGAATAAAAGGTAAACATTAAAAAAAAATATAAAAAAAAGAATAAAAGGTAAACATTAAAAAAGATTGAAAAAAATATAAAAAAGGATAAAAGGTAAACATTATATATAAAAAGGTAAATATTAAAGATTAAAAAAAATATATAAAAAAAGGTAAAAGGTAAAAATTAAAAAAAAATTTAAAAAAATATATAAAAAAGGATAAAAAATTAAAATTAAAAAATTGAAAAAAAGGATAAAAGGTAAATTAAAGATAAAAAAAAAAATATTAAAAGGTAAACATTAAAAAAGAAAAAAAAAAAAATATAAATAAAGGTAAAAGGTAAAAAAGATTTTAAAAAATATATAAAAAAGAAATAAAAGGTAAACATTTAGAGGATAAAAGGTAAACATTAAAAAAGGATAAAAGGTAAATATTAAAGATTGAAAAAAAAATAAAAAAAAAGGTAAAAATTAAAAAAGATTAAACAAAATATATATAAAAAAGAATTAAAAAAATTTTAAAACATTAAAAAAGAATAAAAGATTTAAAATATAAAAAAGAATAAAAGGTAAACATTAAAAAAGGTATAAAAAAGGATAAAAGGTAAAGCTGCTCAGCGTTCGATCAGGTGATGGGAGTACCTAAACACCGAGGGTTTCATATCATTTTAAGTTGGTGTACCAAAGCCAGGAAAGGGTTACTGGTGTGCAGTTAACCCTTTGTGCTGGCAGAGGTGCTGCAGAGACCTGAGGGGTGCTGGAATGTTGCAGTCTGTAGATGTGGGGCTGCTGTAACCCCTTCCTGGCTGTCAGGCAGGCAGGGCTGAGCTGTGGTGCAGAGGGGAGGACAGGGTTAAGGCAGAGGGTGGCAGGTCTGGCTGGGTATGGGGTGGGGAGCTGTGGGAGGTACCGGCACAGAGGCTGAGCTGGAGGATAAAGTTTCACTATATACCCGCTATGGCTGCACACAGAGGAGGCTGCAGTGTCTGATCTACAGACAGCCTGTCTACACTGACCTCCTCCAGGACACAGACACGGAACAGAGCCCTTTACAGGACAGCAGGTAAGGGGCACCTGGCACTGGGAGAGGGGGGCATACATGGGGGGTGATCGGTCATAATGATTGTTGTGGGGGGGGGGGGGGAGTCATCATAGAGTATAGGCATTCCAGCATGTCTGTGTCCTCCTGTGTACATGGTGATCAGTGCTCTGTATACTGTACAATGGACCTGACCTATAAAATAAGGATCCAGTGTATGGGGAGAGAGGCTTCGCTCTGCTCTATGCCCCCTGGCACAATGGCATACAGTACTGTCTGTGACATGGCTCTGTGCAATCCAGGGTAACATTAGTGCATGTAAGCAGTGTGCAACCTATACATGTTATTTCATTTTGTGTCGCCTTAACCTGCACCATACAAACGTGTTGTGTATATAGATCTGGAGTATATTTATAGACTGATGTCCATTATAGGGGCTTTTAGTTAAAAACTGACTACTAGTATGTATTCCTGTTTACATGATGTGTGCTGATTAGAAGTGATAACAAGTGCAATGTATGTTTTGTATATTATTATTATTATGATTAATAAACATATTTTATATTTTTTGTTTTTTTCTACGTTTTTACATAGTATGTTCTACGTGCATTGCTTAGGATGGTATTTATAACATAGTTTAAAAGCTATGTTTACCTGATGTGTGCTGATGATAAATAACAAGAAGCACAACATACTACTGTATATTATTTTCTTATGTTCTTTATGTTTTTGCATAGTTTGTTTATGTACGTGCATTGTTTTAGGACAGTGTTTATAACATAGTTAAAAAAAAACTGTTAAGCATCACCCATGTGTGTTCATGTTTACACGATGGGAGTGATGATTATAAAGAGTGCAACATAATAGGAGGTGATATGACTTTTCAACTATGATTATTTTCTTTATGTTTTATGTTTAAAAAAATTTTCATGTATGAGAATTGTTTGGGATCGTGTTTTATCACATTGACGAAGATAGTTGTATTCTGCAGGGTTGAGTTTTTTATTGTATTAACATTATAGTATTTGTTTTTCTTGTAGTAATATTCATATAGTATGGTGCTTATCTGTATTGATCTGCCATAGTGATTCACTATAGCATATATATATTATTTGCTCACATGCATGTCATTGTTCACTGTGGCTCTTCAATATATGTAGTGTATCTAGCTCTGATATTCTTTATATTGTAGTGTATGTAATGTACTGTTCTCTAGAAGTACTATAAACACTGTGTGTAGGGGTTTATAGTGTATGTATGTATGTGTATGTGTATGTATATATATTGCATATATACAACATGTATAAATTAAAAGTTTTATAGTGTGATGTATGTATTATGTGTATGTGGTATATATATATATATATATTTATATATAAGTCTAAATTATGTATAATATATAAGTGTTATATATATTGTGATGTGTGTATGTATTGTATGTGTATGTGTGATGTGTGTGTGTATATATATATATATATGTATGTGTGTGTGTGTGTTTATATATGTATGTTTTTGTGTTTATATATATATATATGTTATTGTGTTATATATATGTGTGATGTGTGTGTTTTTATATATTTTATTTGTGTGTGTGTGTGTGTGTGTGTGTGTATATATATGTTTTTTTGTGTGTTTGTTTGTGTGTTTGTTTGTGTTGTTATGTATATGTGTGTGTATGTATGTATTGTGTGTTGTGTGTGTGTGTGTATGTGTGTGTGTGTGTGTGTGTATATATGTATATATTATATATATATATATATATAATTCTCTGTGTGTTGTCTCTCTCTCTCTCTCATCGAGATTCTCTTCATTTATTTATTCTCTCTCTCTCTATCTCTTTTTCTCTCTCTAATATCTATAATATATATATCTATCTAGTAATCTGCTCTCATGTACATTTAAATAAATGTGTGTGTATGTAGAATCTATATACATAAGTCATGCAACATACAAACAAATGTGTATCTGTATACATGCATACATACATACACACACACTGCAGTAAGTCTACAACATGTACAAAAAAAGAGTGTATATAGTATGTATATGTGTGTGTATATATATATTATATATATATATATATATATATATATATTATATATGTATGTGTGTATGTATGTGTATATATATGTGTGTGTGTGTATATATATATATATATATATATATAATGTGTGTGTTTACATTATTTCAAAGTGTACGCTACGCACATCCTTACCAATTTTAATTGTCATATCATTGGATGGACCATTGATAAAGATTGCCCAGGCTCACCCATTGTAATGATAAGTAATATACAGTATTGCACATTTTTATATAAAGTGTACATTCTGAGGCCATTTTAAAGACAAAGCCATGTACAAAGTGCAGTTGTCGCTATTGGCCAATCAGAAATGATTTGGCCTGCGTTCTGTATCTGGAATGATGGGGACACTCTGGTTGTTCTGGATTTCAGCACTCTACACACTGTTGTCACTCTCGTTGGATAAGTGTTGCGGAGAGCATAGCCCTGCGCCACATTACTCTTTATTATATAGCCAAGGCATGCACTGACATTTCTCTTTTGTGCTTTTTTCCATAAGGAATGCAGGGATGACGTGCTGAGTACAGTAAATGATCTGCAATCCTCTTTTGCTGATTGGCTGGTTAGGGTTACTACCCTGCGCTCCTCGCCGTTGCTCTTTTCATTGCTTTTATTGACGAAGCCCAAATAGGATCCTGTTGGGTGTAGGTACACAGATGTGTATTGTTCAGATGGGGAAGATAACACAGAATTTAAGAGCCAGTCAGATATGGCAGTCAACAGGGTGTGCAGCCAGTGAGATCAAATTAAATGACGCACAAAACGATAGGCGCCAGTATTTTTTTGGACGCGGCTTTCCAAGGATGTAACTGTGTTTCTGACGTCCGTGTTGTGCGTTTGCCTGCTGTATGTAGACTTGTTACGTGACATTGAACTACATAGGAGACCAGCCTATTGGTGTGTATGTAGGACACTACTACAGTAGAAAACCCTGTTATATAGCCGACACACAAGAAGCACGAGGGCATTTGAGGATTCCTTTGGATCACATGTTTAATTTATGCAACCAGGTTAGTGGTAAGAGCTCACATCTGACTGGTTGTTATGAATAAAGGTTTTATATTCGGAATATTACTATATATGTCTACACTCAGTCATTAAAATCTCATTCTTTCAAAAGTAATTTTTAATCTGCAGCTTTCATTAAAAAAAGATGACGATTATTATTATTATACAGGATTTATATAGCGCCAACAGTTTGCTCAGCACCAGGGGCAGACTGGCCATTTGGAAACTCGGGCACTGCCCGAGGGCCCGGGGTCAGTAGGGGGCCCCATGAGATGCCCCTGGTACCTTTTTCATAGGCTTTTTTGTGTTTGGGCAAGGACACAGGGGCCCCATGATCCCCTATTGCCCGGGGGCCCCATGAGTTGTCAGTCCGCCCCTGCTCAGCACTTTACAATATAATGGGAGACAATACAGCCACAATACAGATTCAATACAAGAGGGTTAGGAGGGCCTGATCCTGGGAGCTTACAATCTAAGAGATGATCCTGTTTTGAAGGTTCTTGTTCATGCACTTCTGTTATGGGGTGACAACACTGTCTCTCAGTTGTCCCCTTGCATTGTCACCTTAAAACTGCATGTACACTTGAGCAATTAATAGCTTGAAGCTCCAAAGACGCTCAAACTTAGAAAATCAATTATCTTTGGTGCCTGTTCGCGCGATCAGGTGTGAACAGGAACCATAGAGAACAATTGATTTTTTTAAGTTTGAGCATTTTTTAAGCTTCGGGCTACAATTCGCTCAAGTGTGCATGCAGGCTTCTGATGGAGACTACAAGTGGCCATTTGAGCACACATAATGCAAGCATTATTTATTTCAGGTACTTGTCAATGTACGCCGCGCTACATTGTAATAATAATTGTATTATTATTATACAGGATGTATATAGCGCCAACAGTTTGCTCAGCACTTTACAATATAACGGGAGACAATACAGTTCAATACAGGGATAGGAGGGCTCTGCTCCTCGGAGCTTACAATCTAGGAGTACATTCACATCAGTCCCTAACCCTCAAGGGGCGTACAATCTAAGGTCCCTAACTTACATTCATACATACACATACTAGGGCCAATTCACCTACCAGCATGTCGTTGGAGTGTGGGAAGAAACTGGAGTACTCAGAGGAAAACCCACACAGGCACAGGGAGAACATGCAAACTCCAGGCAGGTGGTGCCGTAGTTGGGATTCGAACCAACGACCCTAGTACTGCCAGGCGGAAGTGCTAACCATTTAGCCACTGTGCTGCTCAGGCATGGCCTAATGTTGTCACCATCAAGATATCTGCCCTAAAAAATGCCATACAGATACCACTGAAGTGAGGGCATGTAGCTGCAAACGGGCAACATGAGATTGGAGATGCAATAAAGGATTAAAAAAAGTGAAACTGAGCGTTTTATTAAAAACAAATGGTAATTGTTTATGATACAGAGGGCTTCAGCAAACTAAGTACCATTCAATTAGGGTCTACATCTTGTTAGAAAGGGTTAAGGCCCATTCACACGTGCGCATTGCAGCTATGTGCGCTGCCACAATGCATACCAGTGCCCCTGCTCTACCTGCATTGTGGTTCCATTCATTGTAAAAGGCATGCCAAATGAACTGTACAGTAGAGTGCAATGCACGACGCAGGACACCACAATGAATGGGCTGCCTTTAACGAAATGCATGTTAATGTGCTCTAACAAAATGGTGACCCATCTGCACACAGACATCGACTCCCTGTTGCATAAATGTAAATCCAATGAGTAACAGATGGCTTCAGCTCCTATTCTCCACCTGTAGAGAATGCCGCAGACGCGTTTCGTCATTTGAGGGGCTTAATCGTAGAGTCATGTTATTGCGCAGCGTAAGGTGCATTAACTTGCTGCTACCAGAACCCTTAAGGGACCAGGGGCGGACTGACCATTTGGAAACTCGGGCACTGCTCGAGGGCCTGGGGTCAATAGGGGGCCCATGAGATGCCCCTGGTACCTTTTTCATAGACGTTTTTAAATTTGGGCAAGGACACAGGGGCCCCATGATCCCCTATTGCCCGGGGGCCCCATGAGTTGTCAGTCCGCCCCTGGAAGGGGCTCTTAGGCCTGCTCTGTAATTTGTCTGTTGTCTATGCCCTGTTTGTCAGATTTCTGGATTGGCATCACTGGATCAAGTTATACGAAGGGTTTATAATGGGGAATCAGAAAGCAATAAAAGCGATTTATATCCATGGAGTGGGAATGGGATCTGTCATGTTTTTTTGTTATTACTTGTCTTACGTGGACAGGAGGCGAGGAACTATCTCCCCCCTGGGGACACAGACAAATCAAAACCTGATCATGTTCTTAGCCCTGGTTCACATATATGTGGCCGTGTGGGCCGTGTTTTGCGCGTGCACTAGAGCCCATTCATTTGAATGGACTCCCGTGCCCCATGACACGCAGGGAAGAAGTCCCTGCACTTCTTCTGAAAACGCAGCCCGCACGGGAACGTTTTCCAGTGCGGGTGGCGTGCCATTAGAACTAATGGCACCCGTCCGCAGGTCTGCATTCCTCTGTGCGGCTGCACGGATTTTCATGCGGATCCGCAGCCGCACCACCCGCACAGATGTGAACCTAGCCTTAAACCTCCCCCTCGTGTAAAACTAAAAAAAAAAAAAAATTTTGGCTGCAGCTTTAAGTGCATTTTTTTTTTTTTTTTCAATCATTTGTGGGATCAGTTTTTCCAGTGGGTAGGTTTTTTTGTTTATACTTTCCAAGCAATATAAGGATATAAAATGAATATATATGCATTTCCATGCAGCCCAGTTTGCTTACTGCAATAGTAACTTTTTTTTTTTTTTTTTTCTTTTTTAGTAAACCAGTCAATTAAAATGCATTGCTGTAAAGTGTGCCATTAGAAATAATGTTGTGATTGCTAAATGAATGTTCTGAGAGAAAAATGGGGGCTGCCATTGCTGACCTCTGACATTATTAGTTACCCGGATGTTATTTTGCTCCGCTGGCTACAATAATTCCTGAGTCACTGACAGCAAGCGTGCAGGTCAGAGATAAGTCCTTTTGTGCATGTTCCTGGTCGATGACTTCAAAATATTGCATATACTGTAGACATCGTAAATGGCTGGCAAGGTTCCTGTGTATTGGGATGACTGACTCCTGCACATGCGCAGGAATTGTCATCCTGGTGCCAGCGAAGAAGCCTGAAGGCAGGTACCTGGGGAGAAGATTACAGTGAATGACCCCTCACAGACTTCAGACTGATAAAGAAGAGGTAAGTATGTGTAACACCTTTTTGTTCCACTTTAAGGCCTCATGCACATAGGCGCCTGGGGTCATATGATGTAAAATTTGGGTGAATTTACCCACCCGGGCATACAGCTGCCCATAGAAATCAATGGCTGTACTCTGTTTTATGCGTGTATATGCTGGTACTTCTGTGTAGACAGTCTGCGTCCAAGGTCATACGTCCATTTTTTTTTTTTTTTTTTGTTTGCTCAAGTACCGGCATAAACCTGTGTAGCGTTGACTTCTCTTGGTGGCTGTACACAGCCGTTGTGGCTCCTGGGCAGGGAAGTACACTTTTATATTATTATTATACAGGATTTATATAGCGCCAACAGTTTGCTCAGCGCTATACAAAATGAAGGTAGACATTACAGTTACAATACAATTTGGTACAAGAGGAAACAGAGGGCCCTGCTCATTAGAGCTTACAATCTAGGAGAAGGGGTTGAGTGATACAAAAGGTAATAGCTGTGGGGGGGATGAGCTGATGGAGGAAATAAATGGCGGTTTACTAGGATAGACTTCTTTAAAGAGAGAGGTTTTCAGGGATCGTCTAAAGGTGGATAGATTAGGAGACAGCCGGAGAGGTTGGGCTAGAGAGTTCCATAGGATGGGAGAAGCTCGGGAGAAGTCCTGGAGGCGAGCATGGGAGGAGGTGACACGGGAACTAGAGAACAGAAGGTCTTGGGAGGATCGAAGAGAGTGGTTTGGTTGATGTTTTGAGATCAGGTTGGTGATGTAGCTTGGGGCAGAGTTGTGGATGGCTTTGTAAGTTGTTGTTAGTATTCTGAATTTTATTTGTTGGGCGAGTGGAAGCCAGTGGAGGGATTGGCAGAGAGGGGTAGCAGACACTGAACGGTTGGTAAGGTGGATGAGCCTGGCAGCAGTATTCATGATGGACTGGAGGGGAGATAGTCTATATATGGCCTCAGATGCCCATGTGCATGAGGTCTAATGCATAGAAAAAATAGGGCCGCTGCATTCCCCTGCTACTCCCCTCCCCCTGCTGCACGCAGTGGTTCCTTCCATTGGTTCGTATGTTTTGTAGCAATGCAAAAGCGAATGGAAGAAACCACTGCATGCAGCAGGAGGAGCAGATATTTATACATCCTGAAGGCTTTACCTGTGGCGCCTGGGGATCACTGGAGTGGTAGAATTTCAAAACACGGGCTGCTGGAAAGTACCATGCCTCTTCTTTTACATGTCTGGTTTATGTATGTGACCCTGTTATAGTGTCACTTTAGGCATGAAATGTGGTTTCCCTTTGCATTCATCTGCTTAGATCTGATATTTAGAGCTGTATTAAAGCAGAGCTACAGTCATGTCAAAAAGGCCTTCATTTATATTGGTGTAAATTATATTCTGTTTTTTAAATCACCACTCAGTCTGTTTTTTTTTATTGCCCTCCATTAGATTGTAAGCTCCCAGGATCAGGCGCTCATAACCCTCTTGTATTGAACTGTATTGTTGCTGTATTGTCTCCCGTTATATTGTAAAGAGCTGAGCAAACTGTTGGCTCTATATAAATCCTGTATAATAATAATAATTAATGCCATGAGGGAGAAAAAAGGACTGCAATGTATTAGTGCTGTCAGTCTAATAAATGGAGCTTACTGACAGGAGGAGTGAGGAATGACCTCACCAGTGAACTACTACTCCACTATTATCCATTATTATAGGCCAGGGACCTGGCTTTTCTGTCTGGCAGGGATAAGTAAAACATGAGACAAGCTAAACAGAATTTTGGAATATTTTGACAGTTGATACATACAGTATGTGCATTTAGCTGTTTTGCTTGTCATTCTGTATAAATGGTACTAGGTAAGTAGCAGTGTTTAAATCTTTTCTCATGTTGTGCTAAATTATACCCTGTAGTGGTTGCTTTTCTTATTTTCCATCACACCAGTATAAAATGTCCATAAGCATCCGATATTGGTTTTTCATTTCCTAACTCCAGAAACATGATGGGATTTGGTTGCCGTGGGCTGTACAACTATTTTTTTAAGTGAGCGCCGTTGTGTTTGCAATTTGTTTTTTTTTGTTACATCTTCTTTGCTGATGTTACTGTTGTATTGCAAGAGTAAGGAAAATTTGCACATGAAGTATTGATGGTCTGTCACTTTTTGCTCATCCAGATTTGAGGAGCATGTTGTGTTCTCCAAACCCCCCTCCCAATTTCCACAATACAGGTTTCATGCTTCAATGAACAGTATAGCAGCAAGTGCCTTGCATTGTCAGATGGGGTTCAGAGCACTTGATGTCTTCATCAAATCAAAATAATTATATTGCGCATGTCCAAGTTTGAAAAAAGGCATGTGCAGACTCTTTACTGTGCCTTCTATTAGAATCTTGGACTACTTTCACACTGATCCGCCGCAAAAACGCACAGGCGTTTTTATCGCGGTTTTTACCACACTTTCTGAGCGTCTTTAAAGGACACGTGACTTAAAAACTGCACCAAAAATGCTTATCAGAGGCGTTTTTGAGGCGTTTTCCATTGATTTCAATGGGAAGAGGCGTTTATGGGGCTTTTTTTTTTTTTTTTTTTATAACTCCCCAAACATGCCCCAAAGATGCTGCAAGCATGAATGTTTACACCACACCGCAAGCGCGAATGGAATGTTGACCCACGGGCGGGTGCCATTACTTCTAATAGCATGCCGCCCGCACTGGAAAACGCAACCGTATTGGGAACTGAGGTTCCCGTGCGGGCTGCGTTTTCAGAAGAAGTGCAGGGACTTCTTCCCTGCTTGTCATGGGGCACGGGAGTCCATTCAAATGAATGGGCTCTCGTGCCCGCACAAAACGCCCCGCACGGCCACATATATGTGAACCAGGGGTAAGATTGGCGGACAAAGTAGCCACCGCTCGTTGACAATGTCATCACTCTTCTCTCTCTTTCTGTCAAAGCTTCCAGTGTTAGGTGGACACCATTGACAATGCTGTAGAGCCATACTTTCTTTTTTTTGTTTTTTTCAAAACTTGATGAAATTACGTTTCTCTTTATTTTAGATGTCTGCCTGGAGAGCAGCATAAGTGTTGAGCTTGATTGTACTTTCCCTTAAATATTTAGAATGTGCTCAGGGTCCCAGATTGTCAGGGCCATGATGTGTAACTGAATGTGACAAAACTGATGATGTGACAGCCCAGTAGCACACAGATTCAGCAGAAAGTGCGTTGAACAGCTGTCCTTTCAGACATGTTAATCCATGAGGCCCACGGGGAGGTGGTGTACCTGAATACAGGTGCAGCTCTGTGCGCTTTACACTCTTCTCTCCCATTGATCAGTAAAAGGGGAGTTCATGTCATAACAGAGAAATCTTTGCTCTCTGCACAAAGTCCGGAGAGGAGAGGTGGAGCTTTTGCTGCCTGGAACTGACACATAAAGATGGGCCAGAGCTGCAGGGGGGGAGACGTCGGAGTCCTGCCATTGCCATGGTTACTGTCACTCTGTATTTGGTTAGTACTTTGCAGGTGGTGTTTTTGTATATTGGTCATCTGTTGTCTGTATAACAATATTTCCTTTGCGTTGGGTGTAGTGCTGCACTGTAATCAGATCTAGCAATGGAGTTGAATAGACTGGAGATGAGTCAGACTGTTGCTGTGCTTTTTTTTTTTTTTTTTTTTTTTTGCTTTTTTTTAGTATCAAGCATTGCATTAGACTGCGAGTAAATAATGGGGCACCTCAAACATACACCACTACAGTATTGTTATGGGACTGAGATCATGAACTGAGTCAAATTGATGGCTATGGATGGATAAAAGAGCACATCGAACCGTGGGAAGAGATTTGTACCTACCAGACACTTGTTTCATAGCCACCTGTAACACCCAAGGATGTAGACCAGCCTTTCCTAACTTTTGTGACATGCAGGAACTTTTGAATTAACTTTCCAGACTCTGGGAACTCCTGCCAATAATTACTATATCTACTATATCTTCACTATACAATAGCTTGGTGGTCAATGTGAAGGGAACTTCTTATATTGGCGGTCAAAGGGAATAGTTTCTTACATTGGCAGTCAGTGGAAATTGAGCTTCTTACATTGGCAGTCAGTGGAAATTGGGAGCTTCTTACATTGGCCGTCAGTGAAAAGGGAGCTTCTTACATTGGCCGTCAGTGGAAAGGGAGCTTCTTACATTGGCCGTCAGTGGGAAGGGAGCTTCTTACATTGGCCGTCAGTGGAAGGGGAGCTTCTTACATTAGCGGTCAGTTTTCTTACATTGGCCGTCAGTGGAAAGGGAGTTTCTTACATTGGCCGTCAGTGGGAAGGGAGCTTCTTACATTAGTGGTCAGTGGGAAGGGAGCTTCTTACATTAGCGGTCAGTGGGAAGGGAGCTTCTTGCATTAGCGGTCAGTGGGAAGGGAGCTTCTTGCATTGGCCGCCAGTGGGAAGGGAGCTTCTTGCATTGGCGCCAGTGGGAAGAATTCTAAAAAGATCATTGGTGTCAACGATTACATATCTGAGAATCAGAAATTGCCCTAGCAACTTTTAAAGTCTAGCGGCAAAGGAGAGAGAGCGACACCCTTGGCACATGCTTTAAACAGTAGCAAGGGACCTAAAATATTCTTTCAAGGCCAATTTATCTATTTCACTAAGAAAGGTCTTCAACATTAAATGTTTACTAGAACTTCTCCTGCCTGATCTGATCTGCCAGGTGAGCAGTCTTCCTTTTCATGTTAAATGAGAACTTCATACTATAAACTTTAAACTTTGGTGCCATATTTGTAGTGGTGGAACTGTTGGCTCACAAATAACAATCTCGCAGCAGTTAATATCTCATTTTCTGACTCTAGAACTGCTAACATAATCTGTTTTCCCAAACCTTCAGCATAGTCCTGTCCTGCTTTGAGATCAATGGGAGTCAGTTGGAGCCATGAATCCAAATTCTGTTCCCACTTTAGATTTGTATCTTCATAACTGCTGTATGAAGCACAGGAAACCAGGCTCATTGGAGCAGAGCTTTAAATATTTTAATTCTGATTTAAATCTATTCCTTTGTGACAAACTGATGACTGGTTAAAACGTTTTAACTGGAAAACATTTTGTCCATGTTAAAGCCAGAAATGCTTTAACCACACCAGCTCCGAAAGTTTTACACCCCTTCATGACCAGGCCATTTTTTGCTGTTCGGCGCTGCGTTTTTTCAGCTGGTAACTGTGTGGTCATGCAACGCTGTACCAAAACGCAAGTTTTGTCCTTTTTTTTTTTTTTTTTTTTCTTTACACAAATGAGCTTTCTTTTGGTGGTATTTTATCACCACTGGGTTTTTATTTGTTGTGATATAAATTGAAAAAGACCAAAAATGTTGAAGACAAAAAAATATATTTTCTACTTTCGGCCAAAATTAATTCTGCTACATGTCTTTGGTAAAAAAAAAAAAAAATCCCAATACCTGTATATTAATTAGTTTGTGTGAAATTTGTAGCGTCTACAAACTATGGTGTATATGTGTGTGTGTGTGTGTGTGTTGTGTGTGTGTGTGTGTGTATGTATGTGTGTGTATGTATATGTGTGTATATATATACTATATATGTGTGTGTGTGTGTGTGTTATATATATATTTATATATATATATATATTATATATATATATATATATATATAGTATATATATATATGTGTGTGTGTGTATGTGTGTGTGTGTATGTATGTGTGTGTATGTATATGTATGTGTGTGTGTGTGTGTGTGTGTGTGTTGTTATATATATATATATATGTGTGTGTGTGTGTGTGTATATATAGAGGATTAGAGGCATTCCAGTCTCTGATCAGTTCTATGGTCAGTCGGTGGTTTTACATGAAAGCTGAAAAAAAAAAAATGATATCAGAATGTTGTCTGTGGCTTCATCCTGGTATAACCAGCAACGTACAATGGGCATATGATGCATCGGGTCTGTGGACCAATATGACCTCAATTCATTAATTTTTGTAATGCACATGTTGAGGGTTAAGCCCAAAAAAGTTTTAAATTCAGAAACCGTGATAGGTTTCCTTGCGAATTGTCTTGAAAGAGCTGAATTTGAGTGTGGGCCAAAGCAATTTATACGCACAACAATACATGGCGGCCCAATCAATTGGTACAAATCTTCGGTGAAATACAGCGGAGCGGCTAAACGCTAGTGCTGGCAGCGAACAGGGCTGATCCTGCTAACACTGCGTTTTTGGGAACACTATACTAAGGAGGCACTAGTATAGTTCTAGTCGTGATTAATATATTGATAATAATGGTGGTGATCAGCGACCATGTGTGGACAATCTCACACTGCCGACCCTGGCTTGGAGAGAAGCTTATGGACCCAGATGTTATCTGATGTTGCTAGTGGCAGTAATACAGTGATCAGTGAAAAATTCTATATGACTGGCTGATCAAAGGGTTAAAAGGGGCGATCAAAGGGTAAGTGTGTGTGTGTAAAATATAGTGCTTTTACTCAGTGCGGTGTTCTCTCTTCTCTCCCTGGACTGACAGGGGGGCAGTGGAGGACGCAAGCACACTTGGAAATAGAAAGCAACATAAGGGTATTTTGGTTTGCCCAGAGCGGCTGCTCGCCCGCACGTTTGCGGGCAAGCAGTTTAAAAAAAAAAAAAAAATCTTAAAGGTTAAATTCACTTTTTAAAACAAAAATAATAAATGCACATTTTTTTGCAGGAAAAAAATTGTGCATTTATTATTTTTGTCTGCAGGAGCCTGGAAAGCATTGCACCATGCCGATGCCATGCAGGTCTCCTGCAGACTTGTCAGAATATCTGCTTGCAGTACGGGATGTACAGCCAAGCAGATATTCTGACAGGAAGCTTCAATGAACTACCACGGAACGCCACAGCGCCGTGGTTGTTCATTAACAACTGCAAGCAGACAGCCGCAAAGGCTGCTGGGACTTGCAGTTCATACATTCACAGAAGTCCGTGAATGAATGATGCAGCCTTGTGGGGTAAGCCCCACATGGCTGCGCTGTTTTCAAATTTGACAGTACGGGAGAAGTTTCCCTGTACTATCTGTCATGGGGGGGGGGGGGGGGGTAGGGTGGGGTTAGCGGCTGCAGCTATGGGAACACGTTACATGTTCCACTTTAAAAAATGGGTGGAAAATGTAAAATGTTCCCAAAGGTAAACTTATCCTATAAAAAAAAAAAAACTTTTTTTTATTTTTTTTTTTTTTTTTTTTTTGTAAATACTTTTCATCAGAGTAGTGCAATGTTACCATAGTAACATTGTACTACTCTGGGGGGGATGATCGGGTTTTTTTGTTATGTTTTTTTTTTTTTTTTTACACTTTGCATTGCAGATCAAAAAAGATTATTACTCTGCAATGCAAAGCTTTCTTTGAACTGTCATGAATGGGTTAAGTTCATGACCATTCAAAATACAGTAATCTGTGATTGGCTCCAGCTAATCACATGGTACAGGGTGCAGTGATTGGCACCATGTATCATGTGAGAGCTGTGGGCCAATCACAGCTCACCAGGAAGAGAAGCAAAGATTTATGAATCAGATTGATTCATTACAGCTTTGCTTGCATTGCAATCATGTGACCGCATAGTGATCACATGATCACCGGTCCCGTTCACCAGGATCGTACCGATATGTTGCTTTGCCTGTAGCTGCCGACTGTCTGCAGTAAATTACAAACGTATTAAAATGGTCAAGCAGAAAGTTTAAACTATAACTAAAGGCAAAACTTTTTTTTTTTTTTTTGTATGTTTAGGATAAAGTGGAGTAAGATTAGAACACTTTTTTTATTGCTGTCTATTCCCCCGTTAGGGAGATTCGCCCTCTTTATTTGTCCTGTTTACCATTCTCATTGAAAATAACAGAAAATCCCAAATGTTTG